AGTCTCACCTGTATAACCTGTGCTCCCGTTGACCGGGATGAGGGAAAAACTCACCCTGCGCCTATCCGACGCGGCCAGCAGCCTTTTTTATGTGGAAAGAAGAGGAGGGAAAGTGGAGAGTGGAAGGGAATTGAACAGATAGTGGGTGCATATGTGAGTTAGTGGTAGGAGATCACAGAAAAGTCGACTATCACGAATTACTTCAGTGAATGGCAGAACTGGCGGCATAGTTCCCTTCGATTGTGAAAACGACGCAAGCAGCTTTTACACGAAAGTTCAAGCTGAGGTTTGGCAAATTGCCAACAGTTGGTTGTGACCTTATAACGCTATAACGTCACGTCCCATTCGAAGGGAATCATTCTGCCAGTTCCGCTGTTGACTGAAATAATACGCTCTGATTCTCGACTTTTCTGTATTCTCTGCTCACCATTACCACTAACTCACCTATGAGCGTTCACTATTTGTTCAATCCTCTTTTCTCTCCTCCTCCTTCCACATAATGGGGCATAAAAGGGGCTTCTGATTGAAGCACAGTGGCGGAGGCGCAAGCGATCACCCTTCGCCCGCCCGTCGCCGCAGTGCCGTGAAGAAACCGCGCCGCATACGCGCACGGGTGAGTTTGTACACGGAGCCGGTGCTAAGTCATTCATCATATTGATTTCACGACCCAGGTACACATAGCTAGAGCATTCAGAGATGGTCGTTCCGTTGAGCGTGAATGGGGCATCAGAAACCAATCCGTTTCTCATGAACATCGTCTTCGTTAGATTCAGCCGTAGACCGATTTTTCCACACGCGCAGTCGAATTCAGCCAGCATTCGTTCCGCTTGCTCGATGTTTGGTGTTATCAAAACGATGTCGTCAGCAAAGCGGAGATGGTGTAGTTGCCGACCGTCGATCTTCACTCCCATGTCTTCCCATTCCAGTTGACGCATGACGTTCTCGAGAGAGGCGCTGAAGAGCTTGGGCGAGATGGTGTCGCCCTGTCGGACCCCTCTCTTCACGTCTGATGATCTCCTTGTAGAATGGTGAGATCTTGGAAGTTGCTGTAGAGCTCACGAAGAATCCTGATGTACTGAGTAGGAATACCCTGGTTGCCCAGGGCTTCGATAACCGCTTCTGTCTCAACGGAGTCGAAGGCTTTCTTCAAGTCGATGAACGTGAGACATAGCGGCATCTTGTACTCTCGCGATACTTCGATGAGCTTCGTTACCGTGTGGATGTGATCGATCGTGCTGAATCCTCTTCGAAACCCTGCTTGCTCGCATGGCTGTTCAGGATGACTCGTGTGAAGAGTTTGTAGACTACAGACAGCAGGCAGATTGGGCGATAATTGCCAATGTCGTACAGGTCTCCCTTCTTGTACAGCAACACAGTCTTGCTGGTTTTCCACGAGGTGGGTACCTTGCATTCCGACAGGTAGCGCGTGAAGAGTCGAGCCAGAGTTTTGACAAGAACTGGCGGAAGATTCTTCAGATGTTCGGGTCTGATCCTGTCGGGACCGGGTGCCGTACGATTCTTCACCGACGAGATGGCGTGTCGGACTTCGGAAGGGAGAACTGCAGGAACGACATATCCATCCTGCTCCAAGCGGTATGGTTGCAGGTGGACGTGGCTGTCAAAGAGATCCGAGTAGAAGTCGTGGATGACCTTCTCCATTGCCCTTCTGGATGCGGTGATTGTTCCATCCGGACGTCGGAGGGCGGTCATCTTGGTCTTACAGTTGGCGAAGTCGCGGCGGGCGTTGCGTATGCTCTTCCCAGCCTCTGCGGCTTCCACCAGTACTGCTGCTCTTCTCTCCTTGAGGTCTTCCTTTATCGCTTCTCTGCATAGCTTCGCAAGCTCAGACGTCAGCTGGTAATTGCCTGCGGCTCGTGCGGCTCCACGTTGGCGAATCAGCTCGAGAGTTTCCAGAGATAGACGCTTCTTGGTAATCTTGGAACTCTCTGACTTCTTGGCGCAGTCGTGAAGCGTTCGTATTCCTCGTCGATGTTGTCGATGACAGAATCCTCCCAGAGCCCAGCGAGAGAAGTGAAGTGATCCCAGTTGATGACGGTCTTGGGGCTTCGCTTCTTGATGCGGCTCTTTCTCCTCGCATCGAAAAGCGGAATCTTGCGCGAAGGAGACGGTGGTCGGATCCCGTGTAGAACTTAGGAACAACAGCGACATCGGTCAGGCAAAACCTTCGATTGAAGATGATGTGGTCGATCTCGTTATGGAATTGTCCACCAGGAGACTCCCATGTCCAGCGTAGAGAGTAGGGGAACTGCGAGTTACCATGGATGGTATGGGTCGACATGATAAACTCAGACAGCCTTTCACCCTGCTCATTCCACTCCGTTCCGTGAGTTCCGATGTGAAGTTCTTCAGCCGTTCTTCTTGGTCCGATCTTAGCGTTGAAATCACCGACGATGACCTTGAAGAAGGTATGATCTTCCTTGTAGAACTTCTCCAATTCCGCTTCGAGCTCATCCTCGTCGTAGCTTGATGTTGGTGCGTAGGCGACGAAGATTGTCAAAGCTGGAGTTGAACCACATCTTCTCAATCGCAAACGTCCGATTCGGGTCGTCAGATTTTCGTACGAATCATGGCCAAGTGCGTGTTGACGAGGACGCCCACACCGCCAACGCCTCTGCTGTCGCATGTTCCGAGGAACAGTTCTTCTCCAGTCTCGTATACGGCGTGTAGCGGGCGATGCCTCCTCGTCTCGGTCAGTCCGATGACGTCGTACTTGATCTTCCTGGCTTGCAACATCAGATCTTCGATGTGAGCTTCCGATGCAAGCGTCCGTGTGAAAGTACATCGTCATCCTAGTCCTGGGCGACTTGAAATCTCCGTTGGCCCTGTGATTCTTGCAGCCTCGCCCGAGCGGTCCCAGCCGACGTCGCCCTGTCGGTGGTTCCCTCAGGTTCAGGGGAATGAGGCCCATAATTATTACTGTTTTCGGCGTGAAGAAATTTGAACCACGCGTAGCTCGCCAGGCTCTGACGTGGCACCCTCCGCATTGGTACGGTTTGGAACAGTCCAAACCGTTCACCCCAAACGTTGATGGCTGCGGATAGGATTCGTGGGAGGCCAAACGTAGTACTGGAACTGTAATCTTGATGTACATTTCGCCGTCCCGTAGGCCCGGTTCCTCCCACGAGCATCGGCAAGGTCTCCATTTTCTTCTGTTGCAAGCCAATGTAGTCCAGCATACCTCTTTGAGAGGGAATTGCTTTCATTCTTTAGATTCAAAGGTTTCATGGCAAAGGTTGATCGTTGGATTGACGGCCATCCTACCATTCATTTGACACATTGACATTCCCATGCAAACATTCGACAATTAAGCTACTGCTGAAAGAAAATTACTGTAACTTCCAGAGGTATGACTGCAATTTGGAAGCATCGGCTAAACTATCTGTGGACAGATGTGACGAAACGCCATACACATCGCTTCCAACTGGAGTTCAGGAAAACATTTATGGTGTTCAGAAATCTATGGCTCCCTATCAATATAATGCAACAATGCTGGTGAGTTAATAACGAGGAACGTATTACTCTCATTAATCTTTGTTGCCCAGGCGGTTAAGCACTGGTGGAGTCAAGTAAGAATGGTTGACGGTATTGGAGCGGATGTCACGTTCAGGGTCCAATTCCTGAAGAGCACAATCAGTTACTT